AGATGCTGGTACTGTGGAAGCAGCAAAGATACTCCTGCTGGGCAGTGGCTTTGATGCTTCGCAGCATCAGCGGCTGCTCTTTTTCATGTAGATCTGGTCTGGGGTTGTGCAGAAGCTCCAGGCAACCAATCAGGGGAAGGATCCTGTCTCTCACACAGATTGTATCGCCCACCTGCTGGACGGGATTAGCCAGCAGGACCATACACACATATTTGCATCGAGGTCATTGGAGGAAGTGTGTGCGTGTGAGGGGGGATGGTGAGGACCAATGAGAAACACCCTTAAAGTGAGCTGGATTTTGATAAAAGTTTATCGTCATGGTAAATTTCACCTGTTCAGTTCTGCCGGTTTCGAACGTGGGTCCTGGTCCATCCCCAACTGTGGGGTCTTGTAGGGCAGGGTCTAGGATTTCAGGGACCCCTGACTTCAAGTCTGACCCTAGATCCCAGCCCAAGTGAGGCTGAGAGGGTTAATGCATAAAAAAGGTTGTTTCTGGGTTCAAACAGGGTATTTAATTCGGGCATCTGGAATCACCCACAGGAGAGCGGGGCTTCTGGGAACAAGAGATGGAGGTGGGAATGAGAACTTTGTCAGACGGAGCTCAATTTACAGCCGCGCCAATTCCTGGCGGTAGGATTATGGGCAAGTAACTTCTCAGCTTCCCAATGTAAAGTTGACCCTTAACATGGGTTTGAACTGCGCAGGTTTCATTGTACTTGGATTTTTTTTAATGTTGACCCCGCGAAGTTCAGTTGACCGAAGCGGTATAATTGACCGCGCGGTTCAACTAACCTGCACAGTTCACGGGCCGGCGCAGTTCAAACCCGTATTGTTCAAGGGGCAACTCCGCGGTTGGGAATCTGAGTATGCGTAGGGCTGACTGCAGTTATGCGTGGATTTTTGGCTGCGCCCGGAGGTCGGCGCCCCTAACTGCCATATTGTTCAACTATACTCATCTTTGAAATGGGAACGATATTCCCGTTTTGAAGGAATGGTATCGTTAGTAGACTTGTGCCTTTCCCCCAGCGAGGTCGGGACGTGGAAGAGCTTCCTGGGTCACATAGGGGATTCCTTAAGATCGCGATCCATCCTGTAGGATTCCCCACCTTGTGTGGCTGCCTGGGCTCACGCTGGGTGGACCATTAAGTGGGTAGAAAGGGTCAATGTCCTGCTGAGCCGCAGCGGGAAGGGGCAAGGCATAGATGCTTCCCCAGCCTGCAAGCAGCCCCTAGCCCTCCCCCTT